GCATATGATACATACCTCTTACTTGATGTGTAGTCAGATCTGTGGAGGTTGTAGAAAACTCTGACAAAAACAATAAATTTTATAGTTATAAGTTTCAGAAACCTGGCCAGAATTTATTTGCTATCATAAGTGTTTAGAGATAAAAATAATGCTGGGAAAAAAGCAGCCATGCTCTTGGTTTTAAATGTCCTCTCAGTCAATTTTCTTTTCCTACGTAGATTTGTTTACAAATTCAATCCTTGTTCATTCTCTTTGACCAAACCATTTTATAGCCTAATTAATTTGGCTCCCAATTGTTCAGGACCCAACCCCTATTGGTTAACCAAAAACAATTTTTAAGTATCATAGTCACCAATTTATTCAGTCAGTCAGTCAATCAGTCAGTCCGTTATCTTGCTATCATATCATATTTTAACAAACATTATCAAGCACATCATGAGTTTGAGAGTTCAAACAATGGATTGAGTTACATATTGGTCCATGGCAGATAGAGTAAAAAAAATCTTGTTAGATTTATAGACCATCTGCAAGACTTCACAAGAATTTGAATGAAGAGCTCTCCCCCCACCTTTATTTTATCTTCATGTGAATCTTGTTAATTAGGTTAAGCTGAGGGAATGATTGCGGCTTAAAGTTATCCCATGAGTTCTCATGGTAGACCTGAATTTGGATCTCCACAAATCTAGTCCACATCTTTACATGAACTATTATTTCAGATGTGGACTCATTTGGAACCAGCATGTAAGAAATCATTATAATCATCTGGAAGTACTGTTGGCTTATTCTTACAATATTTATTATCATTATAAGAATGCAAGTCCACTTCAGCATATAATAAATACCTCTTGTTTTCTGTGTGGTCAGATCTGCGGAGGTTGTAGAAAGTTCTGACAAATACAGAAATTGTATAGTTATATGTTTCAGAAACTTGCCAAAACTTCTTTGCTAACATAGATGTATAAAGATAAAAATAATTGGGAAAAACCCAGCCATCCTTTATAGAATCACTTTATAGCCTAATTAATTCGGCTTCCAATCAGTCAGGACCCAATCCCTACTGGTTAACCCAAAACAATTTTTAAGTGCCCTATAATCATCAAATCATTTATTTATTCATCTCACTTTCCAGAGAAATATATTCTATAATTCAATGATTTCACTATCTTTTACACCTTATTTGAATCAAACAACATTTAATAGTCATTCTCCGTTATATTCATACATTAGTTGCTGAAAAGAAAAATGTCAGTCTTCATAGCACATGCCTAGCATAAGCACTAATTTTATTTCACAAATTGTTCTTCCGGTGAAAAGAAAGAACAGAAAGTGGTAATATCTTATATATCTCTTTGCTGCTGAAGACTTTACTGGCTCTATTTCCCCTGAAATTATGATGCAAGATTTGATTTTACCTAATCAAAGAAATTTAAGAGAACACTTACCAGGTGGTGGTGTGGTAACAGTAGGACCTGAAAATCAAAGAAATAACTTTGGTCTTGGTAAAGATGACAACAGGGTGATGTTGAAGAATTAGGAGGTTATACTGTATTGCCATTATCATTATCATCATTACTTCTTTTATATTTTTACTTTTCTTTAGCTTGATATAAAGTAAAAAGTGTATTGTAAACCTAGCTTAAAATATTGGAATTAATGCCTGTTGCCTTTTATTATTGAGACTACATGTACTGTAGTCCTCACTTACTGATTGCAATTGAATCTTCCAACTCCATCATTAAGTCATGTGGTAAGCATGTTAAGCCCCTTGAACAAATGTCCTTAAAGATAATGTAATAACCTATTGAAATTTGCATAGTGTAACAAATCAATAACTAAATCTTTGTGTTTTCAATAATAAATACGCCTTCTCTACTGCAACATATTATCAATGAGGACTGAAAGCTTTACACATAATAGCAATTAGGATATTTTTCAATCCCATTTAAGACCTCCTAGTAAGATGGTGACATGCTTTGGCTGTCTGTTGATAGCATTCGACCTGGCAATAGTCACTTTGCATTGACACCTGAGTTTTAAATTATTCTTTGACTATGTTTCATAATGTAAACCACATAAAAGCATCACATCACTTGAAAATTGAGCAGTTCAGGTTACCTGAGCAAATGACCCCTGCATCTTCCTTGTGGCGACAGTCATGAACACCCCAAGGTTTATGGGAGCATTCTTCAAGAGACGATTCGTTCCCTTGGCACTTGACCTGATCCAGGAAGATGCTGCCAGTTCCTTCCCCAAATGCAGCATTAGATAGAGCTTGGACAGCCTCTCCACAGGCAAGCTGCTTACACACAACTTGTGCGTCATTCATGTCCCAGCCATCATCACAAATTGTTCCCCAGCTTCCATTGTGAAAGACCTCAATGCGACCACGACATTTGTCTTCTCCATTCACCAGTCTCAGAGATTTTTCTTGAAAGGAAAACAAATGCAGATGGGACTTTCATCTCAGCTTTCTAATTT